CGCCACTTTTGTGTATTGGCCGTACATAAGATCTCTTCCATATATCAGGTACGAAACCAGTTTTAAATGATTCATTCAATATGCGTGTTATCGGTTTTATCAGTGTGTGGATGCACCTTTTAATAAAAATGTTTGGAATTCCATCCGGTCCAGATACTGTATTGGTTGGCAGCTTATTGACCGTTTCCAGAATTAGGTCTTCGGTGATATCAATTGTTGGAATATTAAGGCACAAATCTCTCAGGAACGATTCACAGTCTTTGTAATTATTAACGGGAGTATCATTTTGTGTATATGCTTTCGTGAAATGATCCGCAAATGAGTCAGCAATGTCTTGTTGTGAACTTAATTTATTGCCATCATACTCCATCTCGCTGGGCAGATCGTCATGTGTTTTTCTGCATGTATTCACGTAATCAAAAAATTTTGTAGGATCTTCATCGATGAGCTGTTCCATCTCAAGCTTATAGTTTTTGAAGGCAGAACGAGCACAAGCTTTGTATTGTTTTCTCAATTCCGCATGTTCATGAACTGCTGAAAGACGTGATTTTTTTTGCTTATGAAGCGTGTTTACTCTGTTTTTCATGTTGATGAGATCTCTGCTGAACCATTTCGGATGACTTGAAATAGATTTGGTCTTCAACTCAACATTCTCTGAAATAACCGAATTGATGATATTGTAAAAATTACTAATATTTTGTTTCAAGTCAATTCCAGATAAAATGTCATTCCAATTCAAGTTGCACAAATTATTATTGATGACGTCATAGTCGGCTCCGATGAAATCATGGTACTTCAGTTTTAACGCAGTCTTGCTTTGGTTGTTATCAAAGTCGTGAATTTTAATTTCAAGTGCAAAAGGGTGATGTACTTCTCTTTTTAATAGATGATAATCGGATTTATGGCATGTAATCAAGTCAACGCAATTCGTCCAAACTAAGTCGAGCGTTGAACTATTTCGGTTGCTATGTTTGTTTATTTGAACTAAACCCAATTCATGGCACGTATCAAGAACGATCAATTCCTTTTTTCCCGTAGCATTCAATGGAATGGCAATTTCAGGATCTTCATTATCGTCAGTGAACCAGCATAATTTTGGTAGGTTAAAATCGCCAGATAGTATGATGACATCTTCACTGTCCATTTTTGCTGTCACTTCACGTATGGCTTTCATGTTAGCCTCGTAGACTTCGTAAGGAGAGTCTGGTCTAATATAGACTTCGATCAGAAAAATGTTTCTGTTGTTCGATTTCACCTTTGTCCAAACTTGCTCAGCTCCGTACGGTGCACCAGTTCCAATCAATTGTGATTTTATTGACTTATCAACGGCAATCAAAACACCGCCACCTCGTTTCTTCTTTGTTATTTGCCATTTTTCAGTCTCGTGTGAGCGATCGCAGCGATAAACGGCAAAGTTTGGAGGAAAGATCTGCGATGAATGCACCGTGTCATCAATCTTTGTCTCGCAAATCATGTAAATTTTTGCATTGCTTGTAATAACATCCGCATTAAATTCCGGCAATCTGGATTTCAGGCCGTTAACGTTTTGAGATATCGTTATGCAATGTGAAATACCTGTATTTGTTGATTTTTGTGACATATTGGGGATATTTAGAATGGCCGGAACATTTGCTGTGTTTGAAATGGTTGGAGCATTTGGTATGGTAACGGGTTTTGTGCATACATGTGAGGTGGTGCAATGTGATAAGGTGTTCCATTCCAAAAAGAATAATTCGTATTAGGCAAAAATTGTTGTTGAATTGGATGTTGCTGCATTGGTTGTTGTTGTTGCACCCGAGGAACATGATTTCTTTGGTGTTGATGATGTTCCAAATCATTGGGCAGTATCTGATTCTCTCGGTATTGTGGACGATAATTATTACGACGATGACCATTCCTACTGACAAATCTCCAACGATCGATTTGATTGTTTTGATGTGCCTCATTGATTTGTCTGTTGTTATAGTTGTTGTTGTTGCGATGATTCCGATTGAAATTGACTCGTTGCTGTACATTTTGTTGCAGTTTTGGACGAAGTCCCATCTTTTTCACGGCATCGGTTTCAACTGTGCTTGTCTTACTTTGCATTTTCGATGGATAATTGAATTGTTTCAAAATGCAATCAGAGCTCCATCCATCCATTGTAATGATCTCTTCACAAATCTTACGAAACAAGGTTGAAACTTTGAATGATGAAAAACACCTTGCCTTCCCTTTGTATCGTTTGTTTGGCAATTTTTCTACAATAAAAGAATCATTATTTGCATCCAAATTACCAATGATAAGAGCGGCAATATCTTCGGGAGTGGTTTCTATTGGCATTCGTGATATATGAATGGCGTATACTCCGTTGACAGGAGAAATTCTTGGTTTTCTGATGTTTTTTTGTTGGATTTTGCTCGTGTTTTGTGAGGCGCTCAAATGTGTAATGTTTGCATTCAGTTTTTCACTGATTTTTTTGTCAACTGATTCTGGAATCAACTCATCAATTTTTTGTATTTGTTGCCGTTCCTTTTGGTGCTGAATCGTACTTGTTGATGCAATGTTCAGTGAATTTTCAAATTTAATGACACACATTTCACATGTAATTCCGTACGGTGAGTCAACATTGAACATTTGAGAAAACGCTGCTGTTTTATTTGGATCATTTTGGAGCACTTCCCATCGGAAACCACCATTATCATCTGGTTTTTTGGACATCAAACCAAAAACGCACAGTAGCTCCTTTGTTCTTAGCTCATCCCGCTGTCGTAAACATTCCACAAATATTTTCTTTTTGCAAAATCGGCAATTCATTGACCATCCGTTATATCTTATACCTTTGCAATCGTTGACTTCGCAGCAATGAGGTTGTGTTGTTGACATTTTGTGGTTATGCTTATTTGTTATTGGTACTAGCGGCAAAGTAAATGAAAGTTATCAGATTTTTTCAGTAAATTTCGGTTGATTAATGTGAACTCCACTTTTTCCGATGACTTTTCACATTGAATTATCACGTCGTAATTAAGGAAAGTTAAAAACCGTTGAAAAAATGAGACAAAAATTAAAAATAAATTCTTAAATCACAGAGCGGCGAAAAAAAACATTGTTTACACTCTGACAGCTTTGACGTCTCTCTGATGACCTTTTTTTTGCTCCTCACTTTTGTCCCGAAGGGAACATTTCACACGGGATAGAATCCATTAATATGACCCATCATTGGATTTTGAAGAATGATTTTACACTAGATAGAATCGATTTTCAAAATTGACGACCTTTTTTTGTTAGGTCTTACCTTTTTTCCGAAACCGATTTTACACTAGATAAAATTGATTTTATCCCCTCAAATGAGTTTTTGGTTTGACCTCTTTGTGTTTTTTTGTTTTTTTTCATGATATTTGTTCGCCATCTTGGATTCGACTGGTAGTGATTTGAATTGATTATTTTGAATGAACATTTTTCAACATTTTTGTCTTGAAATGTATAAAATTGAGTTTTTTTCAGTTTTAGTAGATTTTAGTTTCAATTCATAATAAAATATACAAACAAAGAAATATGTATTTACTTATTCTTTTTACTATTTTTTGTGGATCAAATGCAAACAAATGCGCATACATCGAATGAACTTGACATTGTATTGGTGTTAATACGTTTTTTAATTTAAAAAAATGGAGAATAGCCGAGAATGACCAAGAATGACAAATTAACAGAATATACCCATATTATGTTATACATTTGTATAACATAATGTTACCATGTCATTTCGCTGAAAAATCAGTACTTGCTTACCATCTTTGGCCAAAAAATCAGTATGCTGTTCAGAAAATCAGTATGCTGTTCAGAAAATCAGTATAAAAATCAGTATATGCCGAAAAACGCTTAAACCCAAGCAAAAATCAAAATTTCATTGATGTAATGAGTTTACGGTCAAAAAAAGCGCTTAAAACCAATGAATTCAACTATTTGTTGACCTTAAAGTATTTATATCAAGACGCAAACTTTCTTTTTCTTCTAATTTTGTTCACTTTAGCGTAAATACGTTCTAGGAGTGGAAGTACCAGGGAAATAGAACACATATTCGATTTGGTGTGAAAGTTTTTAGATGTTACGTTTTGTTTTATATATAGAATAAAAAATAATAATAAGAAATATAAAACGTGACCGAAAATTTTTGGCACCACAGCAATTAGTGTTTCCAATGTCATTGATGTTCTCGTTTCACTCGTACAAAGAACTTCTGATTTTTTTTAATCTGTCCAAGTATTTTGCAGCTATACCAAATTCTCAGGAATATAAATACGAGCTCAAAGAAAAGCATGAAAGCAAAGAAAAAACTAAATTTTCCGAAAACACGTAAGATATATTGTAAAAGTTCTCTTTCAATTTTCTTATGTTTTGTATGACGTGTCTCAGGATAATTGCGTTTCGTGCTTTTCTAAGCTAAGAAACATGAAATTTTCTGCCAAAAGTCAAGTATTTCTGTGCAAAATTTCAAATTTTCAAAAATCAGTATAAAATCAGTACGAAGGTTAAAAAATCAGTATTCGGTAAAAATCAGTATCGAACAAAAAAATTGGCCATAAATCAGTATAGTACTGATAAAACCAGTACACATGGTAACATTAGTATAACAGCTTTCGAATTTGACTTGAAATTTGACATATGCATTTTTCCAAGTGTAGGTGGCGCGTCAGTGCTCTTTTAGAAGTTGTCACACCGTTGCCTTTTGTTTACTGCAAAAATTAAAACCAATATTCGAAGACATGAATATTCACTAAAAATGTGCTCATCCAATGTTTCTATCTTATAGACTAATACATACCTTTTTCTCGGATTCTATGTTTTCTATATGGTCTCGTAAAATACACACTCATCCGATCCTATGTTTGATAAATTTATATTAGACTAGTATTACAATGAATGTTCCATAAAGTTATATAGATCATTATTTTGCAGGGGGATTACAGATTGACAGTTGAGCTACATGATATATACTATTATTCTGTTTTTGTTTTTGAGCACAAAATGACACAATTATTACGAATTAAAACAAGTAATTGTTTTTCTTTAAATAAACCTTTTTGTCAATTTAATTTTCATATCGTTCAGCGATACAATTGTTTCGATAGACACAA